TTTTAAGTACTAATAACATGCTGTATCTTTTCGCTTCTGCATGTACTGTACTATAGCCACTTTCTGAAATTTGACTAAAACATTTTTCTGGTCTTTTAAAAAATTCAAAATTAAATTTGTGATTAGATTCTCAATCATTAAATTGTGAAACAGAAAGATATTGACGTCATCCATCTCAAGTGTCTTATAAACAAAAATATCAAGACAACTGAGTACCACCCTTCAGAGATCCAAGACGTAAATATTTTAATTTAGCAAGCTAAAGTCGAAGTCCCATACATCTACTACTACCTCAAGGCTTTGATCCCCGAGCTTATCAGGACCTTACCCTGGCTCTGCTCTGAATCTTCTTGAATTGCCTTCTATGGCCCAGGTCTTCATTTCAGCTTATTGGCTTTGAATTAACGTTCTGGAAGACAGTTATTACTAGCTTGACTTTGGGATTTGGACCTGCTCTGATTGCCTTGCTTCTCTCTTTTAGCTCAGCATTGCTGGTACTAACTCTAACCACACTAAATCTTTCATCTTTACTTCATGGTTGCCAATCCAGCACTCTGGTTCAGTCATTATTTCCAAATCCCACTGCCCAATTCTCTTTGTCTGAGCAATTGACTAAATCAAACTTTGAAAAGTAGATTCAACTTTTTCATACTGGATTTTAAGAAACTGGAGTCTAGAGAGACTAAATGGTTGGACTTCAACTTGGGTCTCTAAATTTTCAACCCATTCCTCTTTCCCGTATACTGAATTACCTCAGTATATTGCCTTTAAATATTGAATTGAAATGATGTTTGGGAACATCAATTAGGACATTTGGGAGCAAATATTAAAAATAAGACTTTAAAGCAGACAATACCTGTAATGTTGTAGGAACTCTATTTTTGAGATGAAGTATATTCACATTGCAGAGGAAATTTCAAACCCTAAATGAAATAAATCTATTACTAGTATTCAGAAACTACACTTAAGCCAATGGCTATTAACCTAATCAACCATCTATTTAAACTTTTTAAACACACCACACATAAACGTGCACAAGCACACACAAGCACACACCAGCACACACCTACTCACACTAATGAAGACTTTGCTAAACTTAGGTATCCTAAAAACCCCACCAGGGAGCCAGTTGGTCACATAACATTATCTCACTCTGTATTAAGGTATCAGTGAATGACATTTTAGTTCCCACCGGGACCATTTTGTTTCTTAATATAAACCAAATGTTCAGTGATACTTTACTTCAGGATATTTTCTCTTCCTTTGAGAATTAAAGAGTATTATTGGGCCAAGGTATCAGAATACATTGTATAACATATGAAACACACACAAAAATAGGGACATTTTGAAAAGACCTCACAGTACAAAGAAGTAGGAAATTTATCTAAGAGAATTAACATTATATGCCATAACCACATTTAATTCATAATCAAATGAAAATGATTGTTCATTTTTTCAACTTAGTTATACACGATTTCAGTACCTAATAAATACTTATTAAACAAATAAATGATTGACAGAAAAAATCTGTTTTCTTATTTTTTTCATAAAAGACTAAATTCAATTAAACTTAAATCATATAAACATGTTAACTTCATAGAATGGACACTAGCAAATAACTTGTATGCGGAAAATTTGTTAAAAAGTCCTTTTTGACATCTGATTAGATGACTCATCCTATCACTCTCCTGTTGCAACTATTAGTTTTCTCAGGGATCTGCTCTTTCTCCTTCTTTGCTTTCCTCTGTCCCTTTATGGTGATTTTCCTCATTCTCATGTACACAAAATAGCCACAAGCATCTTTAGGTTTACATCCTACTGGCTTAGCAACCACAGTGGAAAATAATTTCTCATTTTCAGTAGCTCCGGCTACCATCTCAGATTTAACCCTTAATTACGTTTTTGGTCACATGCCCATTCTTAAAACAATTACCATAACTAGCAATTTGAGATCTGCTGATTGGATATGGCTATGTCACGTGTCCTTTCCTTTAGCCGTGGCAGTGAATTCAGCTACGCCTAAACCAACTGGACTAAGATTGGAGAGTGGGTTTCCCCCCCGCTGGAAAATCAGGGTGCTGTTACCATAAGTATGTTAAAAGGACACAAAGCAGGCAAAAACAAAATCTCCCGCTTGTTCTCAAAAAATAACAAATCATCTTAATGAATTTCCTATTTCTCACAGGAAAAAAAATTCAAAACTCAATTTAGAATCTGCGTCAATTATTCTTTCTGGGATTAATTTCACAACATTTCCACCCCAACCCCAAAATTGTAGCCACAGTTGCCCAAACAAGCCAAGGTCTTTCAAGTCTATTCCTTCTGTCTGACATAGTCTCTCTTTACCAACACATACCCAACTGCCACTTTCTATCTGTAGAAACTCATAATTATATTTAAAGGTTCAGATTTAAATGTAACATCTCTGTGAAACATTTCCCAACTCCCATTATATAGCTGTCACACAGTTCTCTGGACTTAAACAATATTACATAGATAAATCTATTACAGCATATAATATATTGTATTTTGATAGTTTCTATGTGATGTTGCCCTCATTTGGAGTGTGAATTACTTGCGAGTACAGACTGTTGCAACATTTGACATATCTCTAGTGGCTAGGACAGTTACTGACTCCATTTATGCTGGATGGATTAATTATTAAATAAGTCAAATTGAATAATGTCTCAAATTCGGTAACCAAGTCTTATCTTTACATGAATAACTTGAATGAAGAATTCTCAAACAAGTGTTAAGTGGGGCTGGTAATATTAATGAATCCAGAAACTCTTAGAGGTCTCCTTTAGATAGCATTGCAAATGAACACTATTTTCACCAAACCATCTTGGCTGCACCAACATACACGGAACAAAATCAGCAATCAGCACTCATTACAGTAGGCAAAATAACTATTACAGATCTGTTTTAAAAGTTCCGTGATATCCTGGCTAGCTTTAAGTAATATTTATAATATTCATGAGAAAGGAGGACAAAAATGAAGCTGGAGGCATTTGTGAGAATTCCTTAAGGAAGTATCTGGATGAGCAGAAAACCCACCAAAGTTGGTGTTTTTTGTTTCTTGACCAGAAGCTTGAGGGATTGGCTAATGCAAGATGAAGCCGTCAAGAATTAAAAGGGAGAAGACCCAGCTGAAGAGATTCAGCTTCCACTCTGGTGAAACTACCAAAAATGGTGGGTTTTCTTAGTGGCTATAATTTGAGGAATTCATGAGGAAAAAGACAGAGGTCTCTGGGCACCTGAAAATGAAAATCTATACATTTAACTAGGATGACTTGGGCACGGCATTTTGAAGAAGGCAATTTTAATGTAACCAGCTGCATATGGGTTCTGTAATTTAACATACAAATAACTAGAGCATATCAGAGGCTGAAAGGCCTCCTGAAAGGCTTGAGAATAGGCTCATGTGGGTGAAAAGAGGTGAAGGCCAGTGCTTGGTACACAATGAGTCCTCAGTATTTGCGGGTTTTGAATGAAATGAAACCTAACCTGAATCCAGTCGCTGCTTGGTAACAAAAGGGAAGATAATGGATGCCTAGGAAACGACGCGCGGCAAGCGCGAGGATAGAAGCAGCTCCCAGCAACGACTCACCAGAAGCCGCTGAACTGCTTCAGCTGCCGTAGGAGAGGCACCGGGAGGAGAGAGGATCCTATGCGGAGGCGGATCCGACTCGGTCGGATCCGACTCAGTCGGATCCTGACACTCCAACGGCAGCAGAAAGTGGAGAAAGGTAAAATCCAGTTAAGATAGTTCAATACTATATCTTAAAAGTCACGTAATTTTCCATTTGTTCATCCAGATGGAAAGGTCGGATTCCGACGACGGAGATGGACCTGCTTCCCAGAGCGGAACTGAGATGGATCGATTGGTTCATGAAGATGATTTCTATCGATTTGTAAATAACCTGAGTGAAGAAGACTACAAACTTATGAGAGATAACAATTTACTAGGCAGTCCGGGAGAAAGCACAGAAGAAGAGTTGCTGAGAAGACTCCAACTAATTAAAGAAAACTCGCCACAAACCTCACATGACAATACAGGTACATTTTGCTTTTGGGAGAAATAGAATGGGATGGATGAGGAACTTCATAAGAGTAAATGTCAGCCAAAGATTATACAGAAGTAGCACAAATTAACTTGGTGTTAAGCAACTTCTCATAAAAAAGAACTGGCATTACTTGATTTTTGGTGAGAATGTCAAGTTATTTTTTTCCCCATTCACATTTGGGTTGTTTTAATTGGGAAACAGTGTGAAATAGCCTATTGATATTTTTCTTGGTTTTCCACCTCACTTGAAAGTTCCTCCTATGTCTTGAATTATTTCTTCTATATAGACATGTGACTTTATCACCAGCGACAAGAAATATTTCATACTCTTTTAAACAAGTGGTTCTCAACTGAGGGCAGTTTTGCTTTCCACGCCTCCTCCCCTCCCTCAAGGGACAGCTGATGATGTCTGGAGATATTTTTGGTTGTCACAGGTGGAGGATGAGTGTTACTGGCATCTGGTAGGCAGAGGCCAGGGATGCTGCCAAACATCCCACAATGCACAGGATAACTCCCCAAAACAAAGAATTATCCAGTGCCAAAATGTCAATAGTGTTAAAGCTGAGAAACCCTCCTCTAACTTCAGGTCTGGTGCTTCTCTCCTAGTGTGAAGTAGAGAATTTTACTATCTAATGAAGATAACCGTAAATGTATAATAATAATCTATATATATTTATGTATATTGTAAATATATATTATAGTAAATATATATTATAGCAAATATATATATTATATATATAGTAAAAACTATAGTGGTTTAGTTCTTAAATATGGCCTTATATGTACTATGCTAGGTTCAGTCTATTCATTTGATCTGACCTTCAATTTCATGTCAATTCAAAATCTTGGTAACACTAAGTATTCAAATACTTTTAAACCTATAAACCTTGTTTATATTTGGACAATGTCTACAATAGTCATATTTCAAAACAACTTTATGTATTATCAAAAGCACTTAAGAGCCTAGAAGAAGTAATGTTGTAGACTAATGAGAATTAGACAATAATGTAAATTGAACTAAAATACTAGCACTGTATCTTAATTGTTTAATTGCATTGGTGTTTTGACAGTGGAAAATGTCTTAAAAATTGTTGTTGACTGAAAAAATGTCTCAACATCCCTCCCACAGTGGCATACAAGGCTGTGTATATGATAAAATATTGAAAATAGACTTTCTCCAGGTTCCCTTTTTAAAAAAACAATTCTCTAAATTTATCCAGGATTAGCTCACTCTTTTCAGATGGAATTGAAACTTGCCTGTCTTTACTTGTAAATCTAGACAGTGTATTTTATAAAATATCAACTCTATAAACATGAAATCTGTTTATAAGATCTTAGTATTTAAGTTCTCATTTTTTTGTTTTTGAAACAAAGTTTCAATTGCTATTTTATGATGGTTCTAATTTCGGTAGTTCCTTTCCGCCCCCTCCCCACCTTTTTGTTAACAGGTGGAGAAGACTCTTTGGATACCGTGTCTAATGGTGACTATGTAAAAGACTGGCTCAACTCTTTCGAACCAACTGAAAATATGACAAGTGGGCAAAGAGAAAGCCAATCTTGGAGAGAAGTTAGCCAGATTCACCCAAAAAATGATGATGTCAGATTCAGTTCAGAAATGAATTTTAACCTTAATAATGAGAGCCCAAATCCAGAGAATGACTATGCAACATCTACAAGGCTTCCCAGAGGAGAGGAAAACAGCCAAAGGCAAGTGGAAAATCCAAGATCTGAATCAACACGTAGAAGACCATCCAGATCAGAACGAAGTACAACTGAAGCATTAATGGAAGTCCCACCTACCAGAGGTCAGCGAAGAGCAAGAAGCAGGAGCCCAGACGGTTTGAGAACCAGAGCAAGAACTGAAAGCTGGTCACCTCTAAAATCACTGTATGAAATTTTCCAGAGATTTTGTCATAGAACACCATCTCAGACTTTTGAGCCACCTCTGGTAAATGAGACTCAGAGATTTTCTAGAACTCAGCACCGAGAAACATTGAGACAGCAAATAACTGGACTTGAGTTGCAAAATAGAGGTCTTTTTGCAACTTCTGGAACTAGGAATGCTATTCAAGGAGAACGTTCCCCAGACACAACAAGCATGAATGGTGAATCTTGGGAACTGAGACAGATAAATCCAACCATACCCTTCGAGCTTGAAGTAGGACACGTTCATCCAGGAGCGTACTCGCACAGAGACAGCACAGCTAGTAGAACTCAGTTAACATCTGAGACACCAAACAATACTATCACTTTAGAAAGTGAACATGGAGGACTTGGGTGTATGTCTTCACATTGTGAGCAGGCAGATGCGAGAGCTTATGTCAGTCCCGTCAGAATTCCCGTTCATAGAATTTCAAATACTGGCTTAAATGATACAATACCTGTTGCAGTTCAGAGCACACTAAGTCAGACAATGACAGGATTTAGTGACTCAAGTAACCTTACGGACAGTTACAGTGATTTAGAGCCTAGTGTCTCACCACCAAGTCAAAACATGGAAAGGGCAGATTCACTAATTGGAACAGATGATTCTGCTGCTACTAGCAGTTCTGGTTCTGATCCATATCCTTGCTGTGATTCCCACTCTACTTCCACACTGACTGCTTGTTCAAGTTGTGCTTACATTTCTAGTTCTAGTTGTATATCTATTTGCAGTTCCTGTGACGAAAATTCAGAAATTAGCTCACTGCTGTTTGAAGGCAGTGATATAGAAAGTTTATCATCACATTCGCCATCAGAGACCAGGCAGGAGAGTAGGCAAATGACCCCTATAACATTTGATGAAAGTGACTCTTGGTCCTCCCTTAATGAGGACCGGTTTTTCCTCTTAAATGAAGATGATTACCAATCTACAGGACTCACCGTAGCACAGACTGACAACTTGGCGTTAAGATCTTTTTCTGAAAACAATCCATCAAAATCCTGTAGCATTTGTATCACAGAGTACACAGAAGATAGTGAACTATGCATCCTACCTTGCTCCCATGAATATCATGTCCACTGTATCACTCGCTGGCTGGCTGAGAACTCGACCTGTCCTATTTGTCGCAGGGAAGTAGAAGATTCTGGCGAGGGAGAAAATTCCAATTGAGATCTGAATTCTCAGCTATATAATCTGCTATAGAGATGGACAAACAGTTGTCTGTCACCTGCCATATATCCACTTTTGGAGCGATGCTTAAATATAAGGATCTGAATCTCATCTAAATCTGAATCTAAATGTAATAACCTGAACTGAATCAATGGTTCCTGAAGGAACTATTGGACTTCCCCCAATTTCGGATCCAGAATAAAAAGAAATATTAGAAAACCAAACAATATTGTCCTATTTGACAGTAGAAATGAATTTCACACCATAGCAGGTCACTGAATTTCAATAGAAACCTAGCAGGTACACTAGGTTGGGATGTTCCTGATTCCATGAGGGAAATGTTTTAATATGATATAATCAATCCAGATAGATTCTAGTAGTCTTACTTAGTCATGTAAATCCCAGACATCTCATAGCCCTGTCCTATCTTGGATATGCTTTCAAAGAAATAGGAACCCAACCAAAATAATTAAGAAGAAATTTAAGAATTAATAGAGTCACTCGAATAAAGAAGTCATGTTACATTCGTAGAATGCTCTCTGTAAAAAGTTTGAAAACCTTCTCTTCCTCTCTCTCTCCCCAGCAGTTTACTCCAGCTCCTAATACTACCTTAAAGTTTCTCCTGTTCCCCATTAGCAATGTATCAGTCAGAGTCCTGGCCAAAAACTGATGGCACACTTGAAAAGGGTGATGGAATAGCATTTACTGAAGAGACTGAAGTATGTAAAGAACGAAGGGAAACCGAGAGATGATAAAATACCCTGAGGCCAGCAACTGTGATAAACCAGTATTATCACCACTAGGCTCGAAGGGGCTTAGAGACGTAGTAGTTTCTGCAACCCAGAACGTCCTGTAGTTGTAGTAGAAGACCACATAATGAGCTGTGACCTTAGACAGACAAATGGCAGACACTGCCGATCTAAAGCGCAGAGAGGATCATGGAAATAAATACTCTTACTTTTCTCTCCTCCTGACTTCTAATCTCCTGTCGGTAGTCCACGTTAGCCAAACCCAACCTGACGCAAGAGAGACTGGTTGCTGAAGCTGATAAAAGTCAGCCTCCTGGAATCACAGAGCAGGGTAAAGAAGGATGGTGAGTGGATCCGAAGAGCTAATGAGAGATCATCTACCACAAACAACATTCCCAACTCTCTTCAAACCCAGTCTCTGTGTGCTGTCTTGCCTCTTCCTCTTGCCCTCCATTCTGCTCTTTGACGCAGCTCTTTAACAACACTCTCACTTAATCTTCTTTCCATCTACTTAGATCTTGTATGATAAAGGAGAGAACAAGTAGATTTCATCCTTAGAAGTGATGAGATGACAAATCCTTAGAACTTCATTACCTTTCTCTTAAAACATGTCACACTTTGGTTTACTTTGAATGTAAACAACTAAGGGAAAAAAGGAGGTATAGGTATTTCTTTAATTTAGCTTCATGAGTATATTCAAGTCTTAATTTCTTTTTATATGTAATTTTAGTTCATATAATTAGTTTTTTAAAACGGGTCCTTATTTCTTATAAACGGTTTTATGGTTTATATATGACTCTTAATCCTTGTGTAAATGATCCAAAGTACCCAGCTGCTGCTTGGAGCCTCCCAAGTCCCAGTTTGAAAGCTTTAAAGGTAAAACCTGAGTTCAAAACCATACCTACCTAATTCAATTCTAAATGTCCCTAGGTATCACCCAAAACCATGACAATTTAAAATCAAATTTTAGGTCACTCTTCCTTTCCAATCCAAACATAGTGAAGGATTTTTCCCCTAATTTAACCTAAAAGTTCTCCTTCTTTTTTTTTTTTTTTTGGTACGTTGGCAAGTCTAGTAAATTTTGCTTAAAATTTTCGTTCCTGGTTTAGGTGAGAATACGTTGTATTATAACCTAAAACAATAGTCATAAATTTTGTGCAATGTGCAACCTATATAAATGTGGACAGTGTTAAGTATAAACCTGCTCTAAAAGTGTAAAGTCGGAATCATCACTGACCTTTATTTTCTCTGTGAATTTCTGGAAGCCACAGTAATTGCACAGAACTATAAAATATAAATGGGGAGTGGTGGTGAAGTCTTTTAATACATCTTTGAGCTAGCCTATTTGTATTTTTCACACAGAAGATGTTTGCATGGCCAGAAATGAAGACTTAGATGAAACCTGTGAAATTCATATTAAATTCTGCAAGTTGTCTGAATATTCTGATTTTTATTATTTCTGACACCAAATCTACTTCATTTAAAATGAGAATAATTTTTTTTTTTGAGGAAGATTAGCCCTGAGCTAACTACTGCCAATCTTCCTCTTTTTCCTGAGGAAGGCTGGCCCTGAGCTAACATCCATGCCCATCTTCCTCTATTTCATACGTGGGACGCCTACCACAGCATGGCTTTTGCTGAGTCCACACCCAGGGTTCCGAACCAGTAAACCCCAGGCCGCCGAGAAGCGGAACGTGCGAACTTAACCGCCGCGCTACCGGGCCGGCCCCTGAGTAGAATAATTTTAACAGCAGTTGGCTTTCCTGCTATCTTAACAGGTTCTGACCTTCCAAAGGATGATAATTGCCTAATTAATGCTTCAGTATATTCACATATGCCTTCTGTGGTAGACAGAATTCTAAGATGACCCCCAATGACTCATAGTAGCCCTCCCCTTGAGTATGTGACCCGTGAATGTGATGGAATATCCTTCCCATTATTAGGTTATGATATATGCCACAGTTGACTGGGAGATTATCCAGAGTGGGCCTGACCTAATCAGGTGAGCCCTTACAAAGCACAGAGAGGACTTCCAGTCCAGATAAGATGGTTTATACTCCTCTCTCCCTGCTCCCCCTCTATAAGGCACAACTATATATCCTGTAAATAACATGAGACAATCAAAGGAGAACCCTGAGAGGTCTAAAGAAGAAGGTGAATTGGCTAGGGACCCTTGGAATGGATGAATAGTTTTGTAGTAGGGCATCCTATGACCACCTCCCAACAGAAAAAGGTGACTCAGGCCTAGCATTTCTTAACTCCCAACTTAGTAACAGGAAGTGGCTCAAATAGGCTCCTCCTCCACCAGATCAAATGAGAGACCCACTGAAATCACCAGCTGAGCCCTGTAGAAGCTGCAAGGAGGAACAATCAGAAGCCCTGCTGATAACTAACCAGGGAAAGTACTCTCCTTTCCCACTGGGCCTAAGACCACCCCTGCTTCCCCACCCAGACATACTGGTGGCCAATGATACCAGCAAAAGTAGTCCTACCTGGAAAATGCTCTCCTCTTCAGCTGGGCCTGAAACGCCTCTCCCCTACCCACAAACACCAGGCAACTTGCTGGTACCAGCCACAGAGATCCCATCACAGAAAGCTCTCAAACTGGTAAGCACCTTCCATCTGCTAAAGTCAGGGAAGGTCCTGCCACAAGTGCCTGGCCCAGGAAGCGTCTTCATCCAAGTGGACCAGAGAGTCCCTTCCCCTACCTCGAAGCACCAGGTGTCCTAGCCTGGGAAAGCTTCGTCTGCCCCCTTAAGCAGCACGAGCAGAGAACAATGGTAACCCCACCTGCGCAGGATAAACCAAGCAGACCAAAATAGTACCACAAAGGTTCTGAAAATTAGATGGTCGTGGAACCACAGTCCACAAAAGTAGAGGAGAAACCATGTGCCCAACCTCAACAGAGTGAATGCCTGCTAAAAATTTTTTTTAAAAATTTAAATAGGAACCAAAGTATCCTAACATAATAGCCAAAATGTCCCACAGGCAATAAAATATCACTCATCATACCAAGAACCAGATACCTTGAACGAGAAAAGACAAATGATGCCAACCCCAAAATGAAGTAGACGTTAAATTACCTGACAAGGGTTTTAATGCTGATGTCATGCCTTTAAGACCTTGAACAGAGAACCCAGTCATCGCATGCCCCATTCTGACCCACGGAACTGTGAGCTAATAAAGGGCTGTAGCTTCAAGCCACTTTGTTTGTGCTAATTTCTTATGCAGCAACAGAAAACTAATACAACTTCTCATCTAGGATCCATCGTGTGCCCAGAAAAACATTCTCAAAAGTCCTAGCCAAGTAAATGGCTCAATGTATTGGTTCTAGGCCTACTATGACCTTATTGTATTCTTAGTCCTGCAGAAAATGTAATTCTTGACCTTGGAGTGCCATTTTCCCTTAGAATGGAATCCCTAATTCCTGCTATTGAACGTAAAGAAAACCATATCCTTCCTGTTTGAACAACCACCAGTATCTTACTGCTCTAACTTTCCTTCACATCAACCAATCCCAGTCGACCAGTGTATGCTGCTTAAATCATAAACCCAATTTTTTTTTGAGGAAGATTAGCCCTAACTGCTGCCAATCCTCCTCTTTTTGCTGAGGAAGACTGGCCCTGAGCTAACATCTGTGCCCATCTTCCTCTACTTTATACATGGGACACCTACCACAGCATGGCTTGCCAAGTGGTGCCATGCCTGCACCCAGGATCCAAACCAGCGAACCCCGGGCCATCAAAGCAGAACGTGCGCACTTTACTGCTGCGCCACCGATGGGCCCCCATAAACCCAATTTAATACTCTGACTCTCAAACTACGTAGCCACTTGTTTTTGTCTCAAAGCAATTGCTGAGCATTATATTAATCTCCAAAATCACATTCCCATAGCTGCTCAGCTAAATATCAGAAGTTGGTAAGATTTGTACCTTAATCTTCCTAACTCCTTCTGATCTCTGTTGTTTACATTAGAAACCATCAGTTTAAATCCACAACATCAATCATACTTGTAACTGTGAACATAAATATTTCCATTTTAAGAATTTTCTCCATATTTTCTTTCCAGTTTTTTAAAAATTTATTTATTCTGGCCTAATTCCAAAAAAATAAACCTTATCTGAATAATAAGTTCTTTTTGCAAAGGTTATGGCCAATTGATAAGTCTTTGATAGCAAAATAAAGTGTATCTTTTGTGGCTAACCATTAATATAAGTTGTGCTGTCAATCTTCCATGAAGAATTAAGTATGTAAGTACAGACAAGCTTAAGCACTTAATAATATGAACATCAGAATACTGCATGTACTAAAAATTTCACAAAGAAATGTGATATTTCTGTTGAGTAATATTACCTGTTATCAATAAACTTTGAAATCTTCTGGATCCTCATCTTCAGTATCTTCTTTACAATAATTAACCAAACATTTTACATCTTTTCATTATATGAGAGGTGAATGTGAAGTCCCTTCTATGA